TATTAAAGAATACCCTTTGACATTTCATGTAATACTGGTTTGGTGGTGATGAACTCCTTTAGCTTTTTCTTGTCTGTGAAGCTCTTTATCTGACCTCCAATTCTAGATAATAGCTTTGCTGGGTAGAGTAATCTTGGTTATAGATCCTTGCTATTCATCACTTTGAATATTTCCTGCCACTTCCCCCATAATGTAAATGTTGGTACCCTTGAAGTTGTTCCAGAGGCTCCTTACACTATCTCCATATTTTTGGATTCTTTTTCCTTTTGCTCTTTTGATTAGGTGTTTTTTTGCTTCCTCATATTTCAAATTGTTGATTTGATTCTCAGAATCCTCTACTGTTGAATCCCTGTAAATTATATTTCATTAATTTTCTTGAAGCTCACATTGAGTCCCTTAAAGCTCTCATGAAGATCCTTGAGTAACCTTATAAGCATTGTTTTGAACTCTGTATCCAGTAGTTTGCTTGCTTTAATTTCTTTCATTTGTGACATGTTTCTTTGTCTCTGCATTTTGGCCGCCTCCCTGTGTTTGTTTCTATGTATTGGGTAGAGTTGCTATGTCCTCTTGGGTTGGTAGAGTGGCTTGTATATTGGGTGTCCTGTAGAGACAGAGAAAAACATCAATCAGCTGCCTCCTACACGCCCACTACCAGGGATCAACTCCACACCCGGGGCATGCGCCCTGACTGGGAATCGAACTGGCAACCAGGAATGACAGATGCTTAAGTCTTCAGGAACAAGAGAAACAACCTGAATTTTAAATAGTAATTTCTCTCATTGTTTTCCCCAGTTCTTTTCTTTCATTTTGCATTTCTCATGTTCTGTGTTATTCCTTCATGTTCCCAATAACCTTCCTTTATCTACTGGCTCTCTGTGTTCTGTTTATTTTTCCTACTTATTCACCTGTTCTCCAACCTCCCTCCTTGCAGCCGACCACGTGTCAACATATGCGGAGTTTGTGCAGACGCACAGCCCCTCTGGGGAGTACATGTTCCAGTTTGATGGGGACGAGCAGTTCTACGTGGACCTGGATAAGAAGGAGACTGTCTGGCGGCTGCCGGAGTTTATTCACAGCTTTGACTATGATGCTCGGAGGGGGATTGCTGACATCGTCATGGCAAGAAAGAACTTGGACACCCTGATCCAGCGGTCCAACCACACCAGGGCCACGAATGGTAATGCTTACCCTTGCTTGTCCCTCAGCCCAGTGGCAGGGTGGGGGAGCCCAGAGCCCAGTCGTGGTGGTCCCGTGAGGGGGCAGTATCCAGAGGGTCAGAGGAGGCATTGCCTTCTTTTTTTTTTTTTTTAAATTTTATTTATTTTTTTAAAATATATTTTATTATTTTTTACAGAGTGGAAGGGAGAGAGATAGAGAGTCAGAAACATCAATGAGAGAGAAACATCGATCAGCTGCCTCCTGCACACCTCCTACCGGGGATGTGCCCGCGACCAAGGCACACGCCCTTGACCGGAACCGAACCTGGGACCCTTCAGTCCGCAGGCTGACGCTCTATCCACTGAGCCAAACCGGTTACAGCGAGGCATTGCCTTCTTATTCGAGGAAGAGGTTGGGCTGAGGGAGGCCAGGTCAGGGGCACAAGAAGCCATGACTCTGACCTGGGAGCCCTGGGGGCAAAGAGTGGGCCTGAGACAGTTATTCTATAACTGGAGAATATTGGGCCCGCGGTGGACCCTTGAGAGGCAGCCAGAGGCCTAGACTCACCAGGCGCTGTTCCTTCAGAGCCCCCGGAGGTGACTGTGTTTCCCAAGGAGCCCGTGGAGCTGGGTCAGCCCAACACCCTCATCTGCCACGTGGACAAGTTCTTCCCACCCGTGCTCAACGTCACCTGGCTGCGCAACGGGCGGGCGGTGACGGAAGGCGTGGCTGAGACCATCTTCCTGCCCAGCACAGAGTTCAGGTTCCACAAGTTCCACTACCTGACCTTCGTGCCCTCGGCCGAGGACGTCTACGACTGCCGGGTGGAGCAATGGGGCCTGGCCGGGCCGCTGCTCGGGCACTGGGGTACGGAGCCGCGCCCTCGGCAACACCATCCTGACGCTGTCTCTAGTCCAGGACCCTCTCTCCTCGGCGCCTACTCTCTTGCTTTCCTTAATTCTGTGGCATATTGTCCCTCTACCCAACGTCACCATCTCCTGGTTTCTAACTCTTTTTTTTTTTTAAATTTTCACATGAGAATATTTTTTCCACTGCTTTTCAGAGAGCGTGGAAGGGAGGGGGAGAGAGAAACATCGAGGTGAGATAGACACAGAGATGGGTTGCCTCCTGCATGCACTGGACTGGGGGTGGCGGGGATGAAGCTGCCACCCAGGTATGTGCTAGTGACCAGGAACCGAACCTGAGACGCTTGGGTGCCCCGGACGGCACTCTCACCACTGAGCACACCAGCCAGGGCCCCTGAAAGCCCACAGCCAAGGCCAGCTCCTGCTCCTGCACTTCTGACTTCATCTTTCCTTTGTGCCCAGAGGCCCAGGAGTCGATCCAGGTGCCCGAGACAACGGAGACTGTGGTCTGTGCCCTGGGCCTGCTGGTGGGCCTGGCGGGGATCATTGCTGGCACCATCGTCCTGAAGAGCAGGCGACCCGACAGCGTCCCTGGGTGCAGGGGCCCCTGTGAGTCCTCGGGGGTGGGTAGGAGGGGCACAGTGGAAAGGAGTGGCCAGCGCTATGGGTGGGGATGTGTTACTGCACGAGGGCCTGCTGCCCAGGCACGTGGGAGCCAACACCGTGGCACCGGCTTTGGGGAGGAGAAAAGGCCTGTACCTGCGGGGCACTGGCTGGGAGCTGCAGGCAGAGGCTCCAGCCTGTCTCCCGGGCTGGGCGGTGTGAGGGGCAGCAGTGAAGGGCTCACAGGTGGTGCTTGTGAGTGGCATTTCGCAAGGGTTCCTGGTAGGTGATGGATCCACTTTGGTTCTGGGTGTCGTTAGACATGTAAGAAACAGACACAACGTTAATGTGCACCGTGAATAGCAGGAAGCAGAAGCTCCTTTTACCCATAATGCACAGTTCCTGGCACACAGTGGGTCCTCAGCACATGTAATATGTACTCATTGAGTACTTTCTACCTTCAAAGACTGCAACTCATTTGGAGCTCGATGCAGCCACGTGGTTTCTTGGAACGATGAAATGTAGGAAGTGATGTGATTTCCAGGGGGGACCACTCAGAGGCGGCGTGCGGTTCGCTAGGTCCCGTCCACCCCCCTGGGGTGCTGGGCTCAGGCGCTGAGAAAAGCCCTGTCAGTGGCGCCCAGCGGCCCCGATCAGCAGCTGCCCGCTGGCGGCTGGACACGCGGCAGGAGCAAACGCTGGGCGCCAGGATGTGCCGCTCAGCGGGCTCACCTCACTGCGCAAGGGTGGAGGCTCAGGGGGCAGAGGGGCAGGAGGTTAGGAAGGTTTCACCGCAGAAGCCAAGGGAGCGGGGATTTCGGAAGGAGGCAGCGGGTACTAGTGTCAGCTGTCAGCAGCCAAGTACTCAAAGTGCTCAGCGTCGTAGGAGATGGTGCTTGGAGGCCCTTGAGAGCGGCCTCTCAGTGTCCAGCCGCCCCCCCCCCCCCCCCCCCCCTCCGTCCACTTGTCTCGCTGCTGGGCCTCGCTGTCTTGGAGCTCAGAGCAGCTGCGCTGGGCAGAGCTGGGGAAAGTGAAGGGACAGCTCCCTGGGCGCCCTGGCTTCTCACCCACCTGCTGGGCGGCAGCAACACCTGCTGGGACCCCCCCCTCCCCACCAACCCCCAGGCCTGGGAGGAGGCAGGGGGGGGAGGCGGGAGAGGGACGAGGGTGAGTGCTCCACTGGGTGTCCTAACCCTGCTGTTTGTCCTTCTGCAGGCGACAAGCTGTCCGTGACAGAAGAGGACGGAGGGGAGACGCCAGGGTCAGGCCTACTTTGAAGCTCGAGGTCCCTGAGCCTCTGTATTCAGCGTCAGTGACTGAGGTCCCCAAGGACCCCTCACCTCCGGCCTGTCTGTGCCCTTTCCCCCACTTGGCAACCTGCGAAGCCTCGCCTGCAGAAGTCAATAAATGATGAGTTTTGAAGTGTGGTGACACCGCATGGTCTCTGAGCCCCGGTCTCCCCTGGGACTTCTCCCCGCCAGGCTCCGGCCTGAGACCCCCCCAGACCAACACACCTGCGTGTCAGGGCTGGTTGCACCTCCAGGGCCTTTTCTGGGCTCTACACCTGCAGCTCCCCCGGGGCACACATCCTGGGCCTGGGATGTGGTGCCATGTGGCACTCTGTGGCCCTGCCGGGGGTAGGTCTAGGGCACGTTGGTCCCGCCCCGGGCACTTCCCCAGCCTCAGCGCGGGGCACAGGAGCAAGCAGGTCGGTGCTCACGATTCCTCACATTCTCTCTGTGCCGCTGCTCACCTCCTTAGCCACTCTCTCTTATTTCACCCGGAACCAGACCCCTTCTGGCCTCTGACCTCTGGGCCCCCTCCTCTCTGGGCAGCAGAAAGACCCATCTCCACCAGACCCACTGTTTCTCCACAGGAGGCTGCTCAGCCCTTAGCGCGCCAGTGTCTTCTCTCAGGGCACAGCCCCTCCCAGAGTGCAGATGGTCAGTCGGCGCTGGGGCTGGGACAGGAGGACAGGCACGGTGTCGGTGTCAGTGTCGTCTGTACTGTGCCCCCTGCTGCCCCCTCCCCACACTTCCAGCCTCATTTCTTCCCCCATTTTCTTTCAAGGGCATCCGACCCACCTGTGGAGGTCCCCAGTGTGCTAGCTGGTTTATTCATGTCTAAGCCCAATGTGGTTAAGGTCCTAGCTCTCCCCCCACTCTTTTCCCCCCGCCCCCCTCCCTCAGCAAAGTATGGGAATGAGTAGAGTTTCAATGGGGGAATTCGAACATAAACTACTTCACCGTCCTATTCTGCATGATCTTGGGGTGAACTGGAACTAGAAGTAAGGGGTGCGATGAGGAGTTGATACAGGAACCTAGTTTTGCAGAAGGGGCAGGTTGGGGAGGAGCCATCTCCCGTTCCCCACTCCCGCTCTGGCCGTGCCCTAAGGTGCTGGACGTGGATGCAGCAGGTGCGCATGGGCCTGACCTCAGCTGGTCCCCATTGCCCATCACTGGCCTCAGGGTGGGGTCTCCTGGTTCTGGGGCAGGGCCTACGCCTGGAGCACGGGTTGTACTGCGTGACCCTGGGACCCAGGCTCTGCAGGGTCACCATGGTTTCCCCTTTCGGATCTTTGATGTTGAAATGGTGGAGTGTGTGTGTGTGTGTGTGTGTGTGTGTGTATTTTTTTGACTTTGTTTGTTCTTGTTTTTTTTCTTTTGAGGTTTAATTGACATACAACATTACATTAATTTCAGGTATTGCTAAGAGAGTAAGTCTCAAAAGCTCTCATTACAAGAAAAATGTTTGTAACTGTGTATGGGGAAGACTGTTAACTACTTATGATGGTGATCATTTTACAATATATGCAAATATCGAATCATTATGCTGTATGCCCGGAACGTCACCCTGACCCCTCTGTGAGAGCCTTGTCCCCACAAAGCCATTCCTGGCCGCCAGGCGCGTTGTGTCCAGCAGGCACACACCCTGCTCTCTTCTCTCTCTGGTGGGAATTGTGGCCCCTGGGTGATGTTGGCCCTCAAAGCCTCTCTGTGGGTTGGGCCCACATGGGATACCACCCGCCCCCCGTCATTCCCCTGAGCCAGGCCCCCCAAGAGCAGTGGCTCTGCACTTACCTGTGGTGTCTCTGCCCTGAGCCCAAGGGGAGCTCAACATCACCAAGGGCATCAGGAGAGCGGCCATGCAGCCTGCGGGGCCACCATCCTGGATCCTGGGGTGGAGGTGGGGGGTGGGAGGGGGAGGCCTGGCCGAGAGATTCGCAGAAGGAGCACCGCGCAATCGGTGGGCCTCCCTCCTCAACTATTAGAGTCATGAGCCAGGACAGCCCCTGCATCGGGTGTGGCCGGTTCCAAAAAGGGAACCAATGGGTAGGACTTGTCCCTCCAGGCAGAGGGCAGGGACCACCGCTGGCCCTGTGGCCCCATCACCCTGTGCCAGTGGGAGGCGGCCGAGGGAGCGGAGTTGCACTGGGACCACCGGGAGGGCGGTGCGAGGGTGGCTCCGCTTCACCGGAGAAGGGGAAGGAGACGCTGCAGGGCAGGTACCGTGGGCCGCGGGGCCTCCTCGCTTCCCCTCGGGCTGGGGCTCGCACACACCAGGAGGCAGGAAAGGCGACCAGGGTCAGAACACGCGCTTCTTGGGGTCAGGAGACCGAGTCCACCTGGATTTTCAGATCCGGCACCGGAGAGGGAGCTGCCCAGAGGGCACCGGAGAGGGAGCTGCCCATGCATGCAGGCAGAGCCGATTCTCTCCGGACACTTAGGGTGCAGTCTCTCTCTCTGATATTTCTATCTCTCTATCCCTCTCCTTTCTCCCTCTGAAAACCCCCAAACATACATACATATTTAAAAAATACTAGCACAGCCCTGGAGTCCCCCTCAGTCATTAGCATGAGCCCAGCCCATCAGCCTACTGAGGACGCTTACATGGCCCATAAATTTATGAAAATTGCTCAACATTTTTAGTCAGGAAATTCACATTAAGCCAGAAGGTGACGTCACTGCACCCCTCCCAGAGCGGCGAACTGAAAAACTCAGACAAAACCAACTGTTGGCAAGACTTTGGACTAATTCTATGTCGTGTATTGTTAGTGGGAGAGTAAGTTGATGCAAATACTTTGACAAATGCTTAGACAGTGCTCTCTACACCCAAACATTTGCTCTCAGCAATTCCACTCAGTTATATACCCAGCAGCCAGGCACGCACTTTGTGCCAACGTATGTGAAGGGATTATTCACAGCAGTGCGACTTGTAAAATCCGGGTACAGCACACATGCCCGTGAGCAGTAGAGGGTCAGGAGTGTGGTCGTCCGCATGTGGGACCCCCTGCAGCCATGGGAGTGAATAAGCTACAGCCACAGGAATGAGGCCGGACAACAGTGAGTGAGAGCCAGGCACAGAGGATGCCCCTGGAATATCTCACCTCAGAATCTGACAGAACTCATCTCTGGAGTTAGACACGAAGGTTACTGGGGTGGGGCAGTGTGTGACCAAATAAGATCCGAGGGCCCTGGGGTGCTGGGAGCGCCGTGGGTGGTGTCCATCCCGACATTCGCTCTGTGGAAGCCACTGGACACCACGCTTTGTCCACCCTCTCTGTGGGTGTGGTCCTTCATGAAAGTAGACGTTTCTGGATTTTTGAAATAATTCTCTTAAAGCCAACCTGGAATTATTCTCACCAGCGCTGTTGGAAATGCGTCTGGGGTGTGGACGGTGGCAAGTGGCCACGCGCCTTCCTGGTCCTGCGCCCCTGCTGGGTCCCCTCGTTCCTGCCGCAGAGGCCGCTCCCTCCCGACCGGCACTCACCCTTCCAGGCCTCGGTCAGGGCCAGGGCCCCGAGAGCAGCAGGAGGAGGGTGTGGGACCTGGGGGCTCGCATCCTGGGGGTCTGGGGAGACTGAGTCCCCCGCGGAGACGTTAAAACCGGGAACCGCGGTGACTCGTATTGGCTTCTTTAAAAACCGGACCGGGCTGGGCCCTGAGTATCCAGGAGGAGGACCCCACAGAGGTTGTGAGAGGGAGAAGTGAAACCCCAGGGAGACGGGGGCTCCCTGAGGCTGAGCTTCCCCCCTTCAGACTGCGCCCTCTGGCTGAGCCCCTGAGAGCCAGGCCTGGGCTGCCCATACTACATCACCAGACCCGATCCCTCATCGCACCGGTTTCCAGAGCTTAGGCCGCCCTGCGGGGATGCTGGGGAGGTGGTGGCAGAGCCTGGGAGCGGGAAATGCGGCGGTGGAAGGGCGGGCTGTTGGCAATGACAAGGGCGAGGGGACGGCAAGGGAGTGGGGGCCCGGAGAGCCGAGCGGAAGGTCAGGGAGGAGCGGAGCTCAGGCCCGTGAGCCGCGGGCTGAGAGCACCCTTTCCGCTGGGCGCGCCCTGTCCCTGTTGTAAAATCCCCGCCAACCGAGTGGCTTTACGCGCGGCCATTCATTATCTCTCGGCTGCAGGCTACACAGCCCAGGCCCTCACGGGGCCAGAGCCAGGCGCGGCAGGTCCCTGCTCCTCACGGGGCCCTGGAGGCACCCACTGCCCAGTCTGTCGCTTGGTTGTCTGAATGCAGATGCCTGCGGAGCAGGACTGAGGTCCCCTTTCCTTGCTGGCTGTCAGCTGGAGCCCCCTGAGCTCCTAGAGGACGACTTGGGCCCTGGAACGTGGCCCCGGCGGCACCGATCCTTCCCCCATGGACCCCCCCTGACCTCCTGCCCCTCATCTCTCCTGCAGCGTCTCCCACTGCAGCCAGAGAAACTGCTCTGCTTTCCGGGTTCCAGTGGTGCCTGCGGCCCACTCACCCAGCGCTCCCTGTCCAAGGTCCTGAACCGCAACGCCCCACCCAAGTCTCTGCGTGTAAGGACGCTGCCCACCGGCTCCAAGGATTGGGCTGGACTTCTGTTCGGCCTTCCACGTCTGCTTGTGCTGAAAGCACCGAGGATCGAGGAGGGAGCACCCTGGGGAGAGTGACAGCGAGCGGGAGCTAAAAGGAATGGGGGTCCCTGCAATGAGGGGGTGGGGACTCCAATCTGACGATGGATTAGGGGGTGTTAGGGAAGAGGGAGGGTCAAAGCAGCTGAGGAGCAAGCACCCCACCCACCACAGGCCCCGAGTCACAAGGTCAGAGGGAGAGGAGACCCCATGGGAGCGTGGACTCGGGGCACCTCCTTTATGTTTTGGGTTATAATCCAGCACGTTGTTGCTCGCACTGTCCCAGCTGCGTTCATAGCCAGCGGTGCTGGGGCTCGGGGGGCCCAGCCTCCCACTCCACCTTGGGGAGGTACAGCCCCCTCCCACATTCCAAGGTGTTCCTGGCTCACCTTGTATTTGTTTATGTCTTACCCAGGAATCAGCTATTTTTCTTAAGCGCTCTGGGTCCTTTTATTGGAGGATGATATTTTGAGAACTGCTG